ACATACATACATACATACACAAGCATTCACACACAATGGTGTTTACATATATACACACATACAAGTACAGACATATCTAAGCATGTACAAAGTCCTAAGCATGTACATGCCCTTGCTCGCTGAACCCTAATATCCACGTTTTGGGAACATGTTGAAATTCCCGCAAGTCCCGAAACAGAGAGTAGCATTCGGAGGGTGCTGTTGTTTTTATTTTTCCGATTTGTGGTGCTTGTTCTCTGTAACCACAAACAAAGCCCCTAACTAGAGCCAGTGTCATATACTCGAAAATACATGATGTTCTTACTACGAGGTCGCAGCAGCCGCATCCCGCCCGCGCCCGGCTCGGCGCACTGAGGTTCTTGGCAACACAGCCCTCGTGACTAGTGGTATCGCGCTGTTTTTCCCGAATGCGCAGCAGAAGGGTTCTCGTTTAGTCAGGGAGTTGATGCGAAATCCGTGCGGAGCGCAAGCGTCGGCAAAGCGTCCGAAGCCGCTGCCAGTAGGAGATTAGCCGTGAAAACGCACCGTTCCGGAGGCGGCGCATGCTGTGTTTTTTCTAGTCATCCCCTACTAGTGGCGGAAAGTCGCTGCTCTCATTGCCTGCGTCCGAAAGCGTCCGAAATCCGCCGCTAGTAGGGGATTAGCCATGAAAACGCACCGTTCCGGAGGCGGCATTATTGTTAGCAGCATTAGCTTGTTAGTGGTAGTATGATTCCGGCGGCTGCTGTTCATTGCTGTGCTGCTGCCACCTTTGCTTGTGGTTGTCGTGGCGGTTGTCGTCGGGACTGTCAGTCCTAACGTTTTTTTGTTTTGTTTTTCCTTGTTGTTGTCGGCCACCACCGCAGGCAGGTTTTGCCGTAGCTTACAATCGTGTGCTGCGTGGCATCATTGCACAGCACTCGTTTCTAGCAGTCAGAGTTCAGCCCAGCCAGCTGCAACATGCATATCGGGCTCAAAATGACTGTTTCGCTTGCACTGCCTCAGAGAACCTACTTAGCCTGTGGTCCCCAGAAGAAATCGAAGACGTTCCCAGCCGAAAGCTCTATAGCTACTGCTTGAACCTCAGGTTGTGGTGGTTCAAGGCGCGCCTGCGCCTGCTGCGGCGCCGCTTGTGGTCGTGCCCAGCAAGGGCAAAGGCAAACGCAAGGGCAAAGGCAGCGAACTGAGAGGTGACATGTGTTGGAGAAGAGCTTTGGGCACAGACAGCACCCCACGCCGAGCCAAATTGCTGGATGGAGGAGAGGGGGGGGGCCATTTCAATCACCTTCCAGTCCCAACTGCTGAACCATGCTAAATCGGTTCATGCTGTTTTAAGCTACTCGTTTATGTCATGAAGCCTCTCCAAGGCAAAGGCAAGGGGAAGTGGAAAAGCGCTGCGGAGATCCCTGCCCTGGGGATTGCGGCGATTGGCATCCCAGCCACCAGCATCGAGCGGCAGGAGGGACTTGGGCAAAGATCGAGTGACGGATACCCCCAAAGCCTAAAGCTTGAGTTACAGCCTGAACACAGCGCAGCAGTCCGCAAGTGGATGGAAGCTCTGGAGTTCGTGGACGATCAGGGTTGAGGATCGATAGCAACAACAGCAGCAACAACCGTCATCGTCATCCTCATCATCAGCAGCAACAACAACAACACCAGCAAGGGCAACAGCAACAGCAACAGCACAAGCAGCAGCAGCAGCAGCAGCAGCAGCAGCAGCAGCAGGAGCAACAACAACAACAGCAAGAGCAACCGCCACAGTATTTGCAGCAGCAGCAGCAGCAGCAGCAGCAGCAGTAACAACAACAACAACAACGACAGCAGCAAGCAATACGATGACGGCGACGACGACTACAGCGCCTACTACGTCTACTACTACTACTACTACTACTACTACTACTCCTACTACTACTACTACTACTACTCCTACTATACTAGTACTACTCCTACTACTCCTACTACAACTACTACTACTACTACTACCACCACCTTTCATCCGAAGTACATAGATCCTGAAACCTTAAAGCCCACAAACTTGGAGGCAGGCGTGACATTCTTTGGCATCGATGTGCTCGCAGAGGGTACAACAGTCGCATACCAGGTTCGAAGGAGCTTCGGGCCGGTAGTTGCAATACATACACATTGACGAATACTCTTTATAAGTTTTTATGAGTGTATATGTACATACAGACGCATATATACATGTATAAACACAATATACATATATATATATGCATATACCCATACATACATACATACATACATACATACATATTCACTCGCACATACATACTCTGTTTGTTTATACATACATACATACATACGTACATACATACATATGTATATGTATGCATGTATGCATGCATGCATGTATGTATGCATGTGTATATATATATATATCTCCATTTTCTAGTTATAAACATATACATCTACCTACGTACCTTTTAAGTCCGTTTGTGCGCATGTAGACATTTTATACACAGGTCTTAATTTATGTGTGTGTATATTATATATATATATACGTACGCACATGTTTAGTTGTTTATGGGTTCTTGATTTGTTTACACATGTCTATAATTATATGAATATATACATATATTACATACAGACATATATACATATATACATATACACCTATACACATCTACACATATATACATACATATACACACATATACATGCATATACATACATATACATACATATACATATATACATATTTACATATTTACATATATACATATATATACACGTTTTACACATGTACATATATACGGACGTACATAAATACATATATACATATATACGTATATACATTTATACATATATACAAATATACACATATACATATTTTTTTATATATACATATATATATATATCATAACTACATAAGTACATGTATTTACACATATAAACATATAAACATAGAAAAAGAGAGGAAATTATCTACTTCTGTAGCGATATAGTTGTTTTGGGGTGTTTGGGATGGAATTTTGCATTGTTGGGTTTTGTTGTTTGCTTGTAGGGTCATATGGAGTAGAGCTGCAGATTTGAAATGCTGGGAGCACGTAGTCGACGGTTTCAAGGGAACCCTATTGCAGCACCCTTTAAGAGAACCCCATTATGGTACCTTTTTAAGGGAACTTTGCTATAGTACCCTTTGAAGGGAACCCTATTAAAGTACCCTTTCAAGGAACCCCATGATAGTACCCTTAAGCGGAACCTTATTGTGGTACCTTTTACGGGAAGCCTATTAATTTAGGCTCCTATTTGTTGCTTGCATACAGGGAGAAAGGCAATATTGCACATACACTCAAAACACACACACACACATATGGAGTGACCCTTAATATGACCGAAGTAATACCACGGGCTAGCAAGCTAGTTTCATTTCTTGAATCACGGCTCTTCCGTGACCTTCCCAGCTGCCCTCGCAGGGGCCCAGGGCACCCCAATATCACTTGGTCCTCGTTGGCCAGGACAGGTGATACTGGTTCCTGGCCACTTAGAAACAGGGTTTTACACACAAACACATGCGTACACAAAAACACACACACACACACACACACGCACCCTCCCAGAGCAGAGAACCTCAAGGAGGTATCGCGAGTTCGATGGGCTGCGTGCAAGCCTGCATCGGTTGGCACCATCCGCGGCGATCAACTGTGACTCCTTTCACGTGGAATTGCGTAAGTCGGGTCATTTCGGGGGACATAGGACAGCATGACTTGGGCTCAGAGCTCCATAGGTGTTTCTCTACGGGTCCTTCGTTGGTTCAACCTAAAGTAGCCTTGTCAGTAGATTCGAAGTCGGTGTCACGATTTTTTATTCAGCATAGGAAAGCCGCGGAAGACGAGCTGCAGCCATACTTCCAAGTCAGGCCGATGCCACAAGCTTGATTGAACAAGAATACTCAGTGCAGTGGCGCGGGCCCTCAACCCGAGGTTTGGCACCACCCAACATCGAACTTGGGATTCTTTATCTGCTGATGCCCTTCCGGCAGCCCTGCACCAAAGACCCTACCTAAATCCTAAACCCTTGCAGAAGCGGCTCATCCATTTGATTGTGTAGCTGTTTTAAAGAAAAGCCTATCGCGTTGTCACTGACTGCACTTGACAGCCTGCATCAGCTGGGATACCTATACCTTTCGTGTTCTTCACTTATGTTTTGTCTGCAGACCTTGCCTCGCAGTGTGTCCGGGTGTATTCGTCAATAAACCCCAACTCTAAGCTAAACATAGACTCTATGAGCCTAGACTCAACACTGTCTGTTGAGGTGACTTCCCCCCGAAGCACCGCTTCTTCGGCTGCGAGGGCGCGCGACTGGAGGTCGATGGCCACGGTGTTGGAGACGTCTCATAGGGTTTATGATGGCTAAAGGCGGCTCTTGGGTTCGTAGGGGTTTTCGGGGTTTCGCCGGTTTTCTTGTAAGTCAAGCTCAGTCAGGGTTGCAAGGAAATTTCTTGAGATTAGGCTGTAGGGTCCCACACTCTGTAGGACCCAAGCACACGACAAACACGACAAGCAGTTTTGCCATCCAAAACATTCAGCTGCACCCACTGGGCACCCACTAGAACGACGCAAATTTGGTGTGTAGCCCTACCCTCCACCCTCAACCCTGCGTGCCATCGTACCGATTCTATAGAAGCGACCGGATCAACCCTTGGCAGTTCCGGCTCTCCCGCTTGAATGCACTGTGATACTCGTCCTTTTACACTCTACGCATGGTCGCCCTCGGAAACTCTGACTCCCAGCTGCCCCAAATCCAACCCTACTCCTAAACCCCAAAACCCAAGGGCCCTAAACCCCAAAGCTCTAAACTCTGAACCATAACTGGCCCAAGCCCCGCAAACCCCGCATCTGAGGCAAGGCGAACTGCCCTGGAACAATGGCTGAAGCTGTGCTGACTTGGGTGGGTGGGGGGTGTGATATCCTAAAATGTAGTAAGAGTTTTGGGCTCTAGGGATCTGCTTCTAGGATCTCAAGCAGGCTTGGACTAATGCGAGCTTAGGCGTCGCGTCTTTACTTTAAGATGATTTGCGGGTTTGACGTGGGACGAGTGCCAGGTAAGACTACTTTACTAATAGAACACCGGCATCTGCGCCTGAAGGGCTATGACAACTGATTTCAGGCGGTGCTGAGTGCAAGCTTCACGGGGATGACATGGGTTCCTGCAGATCATCCAATACAGGCTTGAAATTTTTGTTATTGTATTACCGTTTCTACAGCACGGTCCGAAGAAGAAGAAGAAGAGTATTCCTGCTATAGTCCCTACCTAACTATTGACATGGTCGGAAATGTCTCGTGTTCCCGGGATGGCGGGCTGCAGAGCACCACTGCTGAGCGAACAGATGCTTCCGATATTTCACGCCTGCCTGAAAGCAGAGAGACTATGTCTTCCAAGGGAGCACTGGGCATATCGTCTGTTGGTTCCGACTCAGCACAGGAAGCGAGCTCTCAACGATCCCAACAGCATCTTGGAAGAAGAGGGGTGCACTAGTTGTGCATTAGGGGAAGCAGGCAGATGTGTGTCGCAACATTTGGCTAAGACTGTCTGGCATCGCGATCCTGACCCAGGCAGAGGCTGCTGGTGCATGCAGCTGCGAAACTTCTTAGAGGTTGGCCAGGCTTCTTGTCGTTCTCAGACAGTCATGCGCCTATCCAGGTTGCTTCATGTTTGTCTGGTGTTACCATGCGATACCTGGTTGATCTCTTCCATTCGTGTTTACTCGGGGGCACGCAAATGCTGGCACAGGTCCAAGCCTGGAACCGCCCAGGTGCACACGCTCCCGGAAGCAGCCCCCCTGCCACCGGCCAGTGCTCCTGGCTGGAATGCCTCTGCGACCGAGGATAGATCATGTAGCATTTGTTACTGTTTGTCCTGCCATTCCAGTGTCGAACATTTCTTAGACTGCCAGTGTCTGCAAGCACCCTAACTTGCAAAAGGCTCCTTTAGACAGCTGTTTCGAAGGTTGGTTTGGCATGTTTGGGGCTTGAGGTCTGTTCTTTCAAAGTTGCTGCCTTCCCAAGCCCTGAATCCTCAACTTGAAGACATGAGCAGGCAGCACCATCATAACACTCATAATCATCACCATCATCATCACCATCATTATCA